TAGCTCAGATCTGCAAACCAAGCATCGAATCCAAAGCTCCCATTGGTGTCACACGGCCAGAGATCTCCTAGCCAGGTTGATGGGATGAAGGCCCTGAGCTGGGGGGGTGGGGCTGGGGGAGACCCCATGGCTGGGGGTGTTTCAGGCCCTAGAAACTGGGTAATGGGACAATCAGCTCCGGGGGTGGCTGAGCCAGGCGTGCAGGGAGTGCCTGGGGGTGACTCAGTGGGGTTGTCAGCCTGCCCGGCTGGGAAAGGGGAAATGCGTGCACGAAACGCAAACCGCCAGCCGCCACGTGAGCCCTCGCTGGATGGGGCGTAGAGGAAACACCAGTTCTTCATCCTCACAGCTGGGGTGAGCAGAGAGAGAGTGGAAGGAAGGAGGGGAAGAGGGAGGGTGAATGCAAAGAAAAGCCAGGGACTGTGAGTCGAAGTCAGTGGCTGTGGGTTATGGGCCGGCAGCCTGACACCTTATGGTCACAGGTTAGTTTCTGCCCAGATGCAGGAAAGTTTCTAGCCCTACCAACCACAGCGATTGTGAACCCCTTCCTGTTATAACTCTGTATAACTCTATAAGGTGCCACCAGACTCTTTGTTGTTGTTGTTATAACTCTGGAGAGTCTCATTCTCCAAATCAAGGTGTGATCCTCCTCTAAACACTGCTAACTTGTGGCCCCCGTGAGATCTTGTGGCAGTGAGTTCCACAGTTGATCTCCACATTCATATATTCTAAGGCCAGAAGGGACCATTGTGATCATCTTCCTGGATAACACTGGCCAGAGAACTTGCCCAAATGAGTAGATCTTATAGAAAAATATCCAGTCTTCATTTTCAAATGGTCAGTGATGGAGAATCCACCACAACCCTTGGTAAATTGTTCCAATGGTTAATTACTCTCACAGTTAAAAATGTACACCTTATTTCCAGCCTGATTTTGTCTAGTTTCAACTTCCAGCCACTGGATCGTGTTAGTCCTTTCTCTGCTCGACTGAAGAGCCCACTGTTAAATATATTAAATATATATATTAAATAACTCTCATGCTTCAGGGCAGAACTCAACCTCTTTAATATTGTGGTCAGGAAGAATTTTTTTCCCTGGGGGCAGGTTAGCCAATTGCTGCAGGATTCCTTGACCCATCCTCTGGAGGAGTTGTCACCAGCCAGAGGAGACTGGGTGACATGCCCACCTGGTCTGATTGTTGTGTCCTAAAGCTACGTGGTTTCTTGCGTTTCAACTCAGCAAAGCCTCTGCAGATGGCTAGAAGGAGGATGCAGCCCTTCGTGCCTGTGGTCGTGAGGCTCTTTAATCTCTTTTCTCTCTTCCTCCCCACAAACTCTGCAGCACTCGGTGGTTTTGCAGCGTGAGCTCCTGGTGAAGCTACGGTTTCCAGACACGGTGTCAACGTGACTATGGGGAAATGCAGCAGCAAGAGCACAGAAAGTTCAGCTGTGTCACAGGGTCAGGACTCCCAGTCATTCCTGCGGGGAGCGGGGGGGGGGCTCAACCCTACACTGGCAGTGAGGGAAGGGAAAGAGCGGAGAAGTCTCCTTCTCCAGATCAGTGTCCAACCCTCCTCTAAACCTGTTGATGAGCGGGGTGGGAATGGGTTTTCGCAGGGCTGGGCCGCACAGGGGGCCCGATCCTCAACTCTTTGAGGCGCCTGGGCCGGGCAACTTGTGGTGGCTGCAGGAAAGAGGTTTGGCTTCCCAGAACCACCAGTGCCCTCCTCGAAATGCCTCGTCTTGTGACTGAGGGTGTCAGCCAGGCAAACCTCAGACCCCAGTCACATGCTGAGCAGCTGCTCCTGTGTCATTGGGCAGGGCAGTCAGAGGGCACGCAGCGTGGCCAGATGGGCAAGTTCCAGTTCCCCCGGACCCCACCCCCAGCTGGTGTCACTAGGCTGCAGCTCTTAGCGGGGCCGGATCCCCAGCTGGTGTGAATCAGCTGTAGCAAATTAGAACCAGTGGAGTAGATTCCCAAGCGGTGTAAACGGGTGGAACTTCAGAGCGGTCACTCTGTATTTTACACCAGTGTCACGGAGATCAGAATCCAGCCATGATTCCTTTGATTTTCAGGGGGTGTCACTCCAGGTTTATACCAGGGTCACTGAGATCAGCATCCGGCCCTGCAGTGGGGTCACTCCGGATTGACGCTGGAGTCTCTGAGATCAGATATTCAGTGTCTGTGGCATTTTCATTTGTAAGGCAACTACCATACTGGGACTGCTGTCTTAGAGAGGAGACGGATACAGGGGACAGGATAAAAGTCTAACGAATGGGCTGCAGAAGGGCGAGTGGGAATTATTCTCTCTGCCCCAAGAACCAGAGGACAGTCAATGAAATTCATAAGTACATTCAAACTGGATCCAAGGAGATATCTGTCTGTATAACGTGGCATGAGACTGCGGAACTCACTGTCACAAGGAATCACGGAGGCCAAGAACTTAGTAGTTAGTAGGCTGCACGACTCCATGTTCATATAACCCCCTTTAATCTGCCCCCCCCCAGATTCTTCCAGCTGCTCCACTCTCCCTCTCTGGGGTGTCTTCCTGCTAGTTTAAGATCCTGCCCCCCCTTAGTACCAGATTCATTTTTTTACCCTCTTCCTCCTTCGGTTATTTATATTAGTGCAAAGTGGGCATGATTTTGGCAATTAATTCGTCTTTGACTACTAGCGGTAAATATGCCCAATGACCTGTGATGGGATGTTAGATGGGGTGGGATCTGAGTTACTACAGAGAATTCTTGCCTGGGTGTCTGGCTGGTGAGTCTTGCCCACATGCTCAGGGTTTAGCTGATCACCATATCTGGGGGTTGGGAAGGAATTTTCCTCCAGGGCAGATTGGCAGAGGCCCTGGGTTTTTTTTTTGCCTTCCTGTGCAGCGTGGGGCACGGGTCACTTGCTGGAGGATTCTCTGCACCTTGAGGTCTTTAAACCATGATTTGAAGACTTCAGTAACTCAGACATAGGTCAGGGGTTTGTTACAGGAGTGGGTGGGTGAGATTCTGTGGCCTGCGTTGTGCAGGAGGTCAGACTAGATGATCATAATGGTCCCTTCTGACCTTAAAGTCTAGGAGTATATGAGTATAAGAGTCTACCCCATGGGCACGGCGTCTGAGGGACCTGATCCCAGACACATTTGCACCCCCACCCCTTGAACCACCACACTCGTATACTTGCAAACAGCCCCAGTGCTCTAGGACAGTGGTTTGCAAAAGTTTTGACATTTGTGGACCCCTACAAAATTTTGAGGTGCGGATCCCTTTGGAAATCTTAGACATAGTCTGCAGACCCCCAGACTCCACGGCTCACAGGTTGAAAGCCGCTGCTCTAGGACACAGAGCTTTGTATTCGGCACCGCTGCTGTCCTGTATCCAGTGGTAGTGCCCGCAGGTCAAGGAGGATGTTGATAAATCAGAGAAGGGGGGTGAGAGAAGAGCATCGGTGTCCAGGGGGGTTAGGAGCCTACCTGGGGGGACAATACAGCTGTGACCCCAGGGGATCGAGGGCAGCTGGAGAACCGGCTTCTTCAGTCCCAGACACGATCCCTGGGGCTTTCCTGCACCAGCCTGAATTGCACAAACCCTGGGCCCCGTTCCTGTCCCCGCTGCACCAGCAGGGAGCCCGTCGCATCGAGCGGGGCAGGCAGAGTGGGGAGCCGCACCCGGTGCCCCTAGCCCATGAGAACACGGCCTTGGATTTGTTTCTAACACAGGGGCCCCCAAGCGCCAGGCGGCCAGATGGACACATGGCGCAGATGGATCTGCTCTGCAACCCCCTTCTCCTCGCTGTGACTGGCGGGCCCACATGACTAAAGGAGTGAAATGTACAAGGCCCAAACCTGCATTCCCTGCACCGGCCATGGCCCCTTGGAGTTGGGGGGGGGCAGGATCCTAGGCAGAGGGCCCGAGCCGCAGGGAGTTTGATGTGGGGGTCTCTCCCCAGGTGCTTCCCCACCTGGCTCAGCACGATCCCAGCCAGAGCCGCGCGCCCGGAGTCGTGGGGACCGGTGCAGACTCGAGGGAGACGCTGCGGGACAGAAGCGTCGGGGGCAGAAATTTCACTGGCAATGTCAGGGCCTGATTCTGCGCTCAGGGGGCCAGATCCTCAGCTGGTGAAAATCAGCCCAGTGCCCCGTCCCGTCAGCTGGAGCACAGAGCGGTGACACCACTGGAGCTACGGCCAGTTCCCCCCAGCTGGGATCTGCCCCATTGACCCCAGTGGAGCTACGGCCAGTTCCCCCCAGCTGGGATCTGCCCCATTGACCCCAGTGGAGCGACGGCCAGTTCCCCCAGCTGGGATCTGGAGTCAGGTCACTCCCGGGCGCAGGGGTCGGGTCTGTAGAATCAGCCGCTCCTCCTCCCCCGGTCCAGGCTGGCCCATCTCCAGTGTTATCCCGGCTCCATCCAGATTCTCCCCCCTGTTCCCCGCCCTGGGGTGGCAGAGCGAGGGGTTGTGGGGCAGATGCTGGGGAGGGCAGCGAGGGGCAGTGGTGTGAGATCACACAGGAAGCTGCAGCTGGGGGGGTGGGGGAGGGAGGCTGGTCAGAGCGTCCGGCCTCAGGCTCGCTGCTGCTGCAGAAGTCAGCACAGGCACGCAGGGGCTGGTCACAGCCAGTGATGGTCGCCCCCGTCCCACCCTGATGCAGCCTGCAGCCGCCCTGATGCCAGGGCGAGGGGCACAGCCTGTCTATGGCTATTCTGGTCATGGTCATTTCACCCCCCTGCTGGGTGACGCAGGGAGGTGTCATGGCCCCCCTGACCGGCGGGTGGTGTTTGGCGCCGGGATCCCATGCAAATTGTCACTCCGGAGTCGCACACCCCGTGCTCTCCCCTTCCCCATGGCGGGCTGCCACCTACGGGTGCAGCTGGGAACTGCAGGCCCAGGAGGGGATCGGTCTCACCCCAGCGCTCTGAGCTGTTTCCCTCTGGCTATAAGGGGTTTCCAGGCACTCGCTGGGCCCGATCCCAGGCTGGGGTCGTTCAGTGGGACTGATTCTGAGCGGCACCTGCTGAGGCTCTGACCCTGTCCATAGAGCTCAGATTTTAACACTGCGCCCCTCACCCTGGTGTCAGGGCAGCGGATCCCCCTCAGGGAGTGGAGGACGGGGGGTGTCCGGGGCTGGCTGGGATCTTTCACGTGACCGAGCCAACATCTGCCAGAGCAGAGAGAGGAAACTCAGGATGGAGTCTCTGACCACGGCCCCACCAACCACGTGGCTGCAGCCCAGCGGCTCAGCTTCCTGTGTGATCTCAGCCCAGCCCCTCACCCCCTGCCCGTGCCTTCACCGCCTCCTCTCACTTGGAGATGATGGAGGATGAGGAAGGATACAAGGCATTGAACCTGCGGCCCAAGCGGGATGGCTCGGGTGGCCCGTCCCCAGCCGGGAACCAAGGTAGCAATTTCAATCCCTTTCTCCCACCTACGGGCTCCATGTCCTGGCAGCAGGCGCAGAGCCGGGGCTGGGACCCCAGAGAGGGGCCAGGGGCCGGCAGAGTCTGGCCATGGGGTTATATCACAGGGTGGGGTAGGGCCACAGACAGAGGTAAAGAGCGTGGGGGAGCCACAAAGTGGCAGAGCGAGAGTGGGAGCGCTCATGGGGAGATTTCCCCTCTGAAGTCAAAGAGGTGGGTCAAATGGGGGAAACTGAGGCACAGATGAGAGAAAAAATCTTTCATGAAGACACACCCACTAGACCCAATTCCCCTTTCGAAGCTGGGAATAGAACCCAGGTGTCCTGGCTCCCAACCCCCCCGCTCTGACCCACTAAACCCCACTCCCCTCCCAGAGCCAGGGATAGAGCCCAGGTTTCCTGTCCCCCCAGCCCTCACTGCTCTAACCCATTAACCCTCACTCCCTTCCAAGAGCTGGGGCTAGAACCCAGGAGTCCTGGCTCCCAGCCCTACTGTTCCAACCTACTAGACCTCATTTCCTGCCCATATCTGGTAATAGAAACCAGGGTTTCAGGTGGGGTTTGCAGAGCTTCCAAAACAGTGGTTCTTGCAATTCATGGAGCAGAGCCCTGCTCTCAGAGCAATTGGTACAGGCTCTCTGCAAACTCAGACAGGGTTGCTGTATCCGTAACACTTGGGGTCACATTTTCAATCTTTTCTCCCCAGCCGTGGGGCCTGAAAACTGCCTTTCTCTTCTAAATGAAAGCTGAGACCCTTATACAATCACCTGACTCCTGGAGCTGGGCCCTGAGGCCAGGATCTAGAGTGGCTGGGCCTTAATTCAGCCTGGTTCTGCTTGTGTTTCATTACAGGTTCCCGACAGTGTCCTGGCTGGCTTCAGGTCGCTCTAGGGGCTGGGAATCTCATCCTGGCAGGGGCTGTGCTATTGCTGGTGGTGTGTGGTGAGTCACCAAAGGCTGTAATTTTATCTGTCCGGGTGCGTCAGTCTGCAGCGTGGATGCGACACTGGGGGTGGGACGGCCAGTGACATTGAGAGGCAGCACATTGAAAACTGAATCTGTCACAATTATCCTGTGGAACTCACTGTCACAGGATCTCACTGGGGCCATAAGCTTAGCAGGGCTCAGTGAAGGATCAGGACACATATATGAGACCAGCCAGGAGCCAGGAAGTACCCAAGTGCTATAAATCCTCTTGCTTCAGGGCATCAATCAACCCCTAACTGACGGGCAGGAAGGGTCTGACTTGAGGGACAAGTTCTCATTGTCCACTAGGGGGTGTCTTGCTCCTTGCTCAGAAGTAGCTGGGGCTGTCCACCCTTGGAGATGGGATACTGTTGTACTTAAAGTACTGCACAGGACCTTTTCAGGGGGAATAAGACAAAATGCCACATTTATTAGCAATACATGTATTCATTAACACTGTATCATATGCATATAATATATTACACTTACACTCACACACACACAAACACACTCCGTCTTGTTGTTCCAATTAGTTGCTCCCCTTAACTTCACTGGCCAGGTGAGTTAGATGGGGGAGGGGGTGGAGCCGGGCTTCTGCCGATCCGGATCGATGCTCCCATGTTGACAAGACGAGACCCGGGGTCCTCTGCAAGACACCTCACTTTTATAGCAGCTTTCCTCTTATGCAAATCTAGACCAGATTCAAACTCTGTGTCTGTGTCCATTGGTCCTTTGTGCTGCTTTCTTTTGAGTGTTGTCCCAATGCTGCAAAGAGGGTGTTTCCAAAAGAAGGTGCTTGCTTCTAACCCTCGAGGCTGTCGGTATGTCTGCTTGTCTTTAATGAGCCCACTTGACACGTGTTATTGTCCTTGGGTCTGGCTCCCAGCCCCTCTCCAACAGTTGAGGCTGTCTGGAGGTGCTGCCTTCCATGCCTTGCTCATCCACACCTCATTCATTCAACAGGGCAATTGATTAAAAGTGTGGGGGGGGAGGAGCTCTTGTTCTACTGCTAGCAAAAAGAAATTTGTCTTCTATCTTATTCTATCCTTAGGGGCTATAATATTATACCAAGAGCAATGCAAAGTTTCTAAATGAGGCTTTGATACAAAGTCCCATGAAAACAGAGGTCACACGTGGGTAGACCCACCACAAGGTTATATGAAGAGGCATAATGTAAAGTCATATGAAAATTATCAGCGATTGATCTACACCAGTTCTGCATTCCCGGAGCCAGGGCCGGAGAAGGATGGGTCCTTCCGCTGTTCCTGCTCCACAGAGACGCTCCCGTATTACACACGTGGTGAGAGTCTGAGACTCAGCTGCTCAGCTTTGTGCAGAATTTGGGGGGTTGGTGGGGGAGGGGGGTTGACACACAACATTCAGGGCAAAGCTCGGACCTGAGCTCGACCAGAGCACGGAGTTTTTTCCTCTGAAAATCACCATTTTGGGATTTGCTTTTTCCAAGCAGGCCCATTTGCCTCTCAGATGGGGGTGGAGAAGCCCATCATTTCCCGCTGTGGGGCTCCCCTGCCCCCGTCTTTGCCTGCTCGTCGGGCTCTGTGCCAGTTCCTGGTGCTGGACAAGGGGAACTGCCCGTCCCTGATGCAGGCAGCGCGGCCCCCGCAGAGGCGAGACACTGGAGCGTGTCGGCCCTTTGGGGAGAAGTTGAGGCAAAGTCCCGGCTGCAGAAGCAGAGACGCAAACGCTGCAATCGGAGAGCCTGAGGCCCAACACCCCCAGGAGGAAACTGCTCTAACGACCAGGGCAGGAATCTCCCCCGGGGCAGGGGGGAGTCAGAGGACAGAGATCGCCCAGCAGCTGGGCAGGGTCACTGTCCCTAGCTCCGGGGTCCCACGCTCCGGGGGTCTGTTCCCGATGACGAGCTG